TATCTATCTATCTATCAGGCTGAAGCAGAGGTAGCTTCCCTGAACAGACGCATCCAGCTGGTGGAGGAGGAGTTGGACCGAGCTCAAGAGAGACTGGCAACAGCTCTGCAGAAACTGGAGGAGGCTGAGAAGGCTGCTGATGAAAGCGAGAGGTGACTTCTTGTTGTCATTCAGTAATTTAGTAGGTCTTGAGGAGACATAGACGTGCTGACTTCAGTGTGAAGTAGTAATGGTGAGGATGCTGCAGCAGCATTACAGGTGGTCTAATAAATCTGTTCAGCACTGTAGGTCAAATCTGCAGCACAAGTAGAGCAAAGAAACTCAATAAACATATTTTCAGGAGAATGATACCCTCCTGAGAGACATGCATGATTTATAGCAAACAGTGAAAAAGACAAAAATGACATCTGTAACCTGAACACAACAAAGACTGACGATTATTCAGGTGCTTTAAATGACTGATGAATGACATTGAATAACATTTTAAACTTATTTGTACTGTTTTTGTGTGCAGAGGTATGAAGGTGATTGAAAACAGGGCTCTGAAGGATGAGGAGAAGATGGAGCTCCAGGAGATCCAGCTGAAGGAAGCCAAACACATCGCAGAGGAGGCCGACCGAAAGTATGAGGAGGTGAGGTTTCTGTCGTCCCCCGTACCGTATCCAGATGGTGACTGAGATGCTGATCGAGGTACCTTGGAAACTAAAAGATCAACATCTGAAAGCTTTCCACTGTGCATGCAAACATCCCAGTAATACTGTGTAATAAAGCCACTGGGCTGGTGTTGGAAATGCAGGATGCTTACTTGACCAAGAGGTGAATATTGAAGTTGGAGAAAGTCTTTCTAAGTAAATACACTTAATGACAGACTCTGTAAATATCCCTGTGTGAACTGCTAGCTGTATGTTCTGTCTTTGATTTGAAACTGACTGAGTAGCATAAAGAACTTCATCTCCATACAGTCCTGTGATGCACGACAATGAAGTCTTCAGTTTTGAACAGAATGATGATCAGCTTTGTGCGGCTGTTTAGCCTGACGGTGGCTCAGTGAAGCCAGAGAGCTGCACTATGGAACTAGTTGGAAATAGCCAGACTTCCTTTGTGTGAGTCGGCCCATTTAGAGATAACAGGTGTCAGAAGGTGGTTATCATCTCTCTTTGTTAACTCGGGGTTTCTGCTTCAGACTCTGTGCATACTGACATACTGATTATTCTGAAAGTTTACTTCTGTCATGTATAAAGCCTTAAACCTAAAAACTGTATGTTTTCTGCTTTTTGTTCAGGTGGCTCGTAAGCTGGTGATTGTAGAGGGAGAGCTGGAACGTACGGAGGAGAGAGCAGAGCTCGCCGAGGCGTAAGTGTCTACGTTGTTCCCCTTCTGGTGATGTACCTCCTACAGCAAAGCCAGGTGGTTCAGTCAGCAGGGTTTATCACAGAGTGCATCCCTCTGTCACGGCAGCATTTTGTGGTAGATGGTTGATGTATGGGCTGCAGGTGTCTTGGTGGTTAGCACCATCGCCTCACAGCTAGAAGGTCGCCGGTTGGTGTCCCAGTGAGGACACCCGGGATCTTTCTGCGTGGAGTCTCCATGTTCTCCCCGTGCAGCGTGGGTTCTCTCCGGGTTCTCCGGCTTCCTCCCACAGTCCAGAACCATGCTGAGGTTAATTGGTGATTGTAAATTGTCCGTAGGTGTGAATGTGAGTGTGCTTGGTTGTCTGTCTCTAAGTGTAGCCCTGTGATAGACTGGTTACCTGTCCAGGTGAACCTGCCTTCACCCTGAGTCAGCTGGGATAGACTCCGCCCCCCACCTGAGTGAGGATTAAGGTGCAGAGATGATGGATGGATGGATTTTTCATTTAATATTACAGATGCAAATGAGTTTTTACACATTCACTGATTGGGGGGTCACTGGTTCCTCTGCTGCTGTGCACAAGACTGTTTAAAATGAGAACAGTTTGATGTTGATGAGCAGTGAGATGAACATCTGCAGTGTAGGGAGGCTTCACTGATGGTACCCGGCTGACAGATCCCCCTTCTGAACAAACAGGACAGGGAAGCAGAAGAGAAAGGGATGGGAAGGTAAATGAGAACAACCAGCTGTGCAGGGCAGGCTGGCATTAATAGACGTACAGCAGGATGACGGGTGTCTGAGGTGTGATCCTGCCCTGGAAGCTCAGTTAGAAAAATGATCTCCATTTTAGATTCAACACAGAAAACACAGGATCCTTTCGTGACATGTACTGTATTGAAACTATTCAGCAGCAGAAAGTAGCTAAAAGGGCCACTCTGCAGGATCTGTTTGATGCTAATGCTTCTCCTTTAGCTGCATTATGAAAGCAGGGCTTTTACCTGTAATGACATCTTTTATGCTGTAGGACCCAGGTACTGCTTCCACTACTGTTTTTATAATGGTCACTTAAAATGTGCACTCATAGCCACTGTTCACTCTTCTAAAGCCCAGTGTGGTGTCCTCACTCTCACATGTTTCTCTGCTTCTTTCCCTGAAACCAAAACCAATCAAGTAAATGTGCTGAACTGGAAGAGGAGCTGAAGAACGTCACCAATAACCTCAAATCCCTGGAGGCTCAGGCTGAGAAGGTAGGACCAGGCCTCTACATCCAGAGCAGTGCTTTAGTTAGATATTAATATGAAACTAAAACAAGAACACATCTGTAGAGAAACATTAGATACACAGGCTCCTCTGTCATCCCACCATACATGTTGACTGGTTTAGACAGACGGGACGTATTGCTGTAGACCACATCTACAGTAGACATGTACATGATTAAGGTGCAGACATTTTGCAAGAGGCAGGGTCTGCCTGTCGACAGTTTACGTATGTCAATAAGCCAGAACTTTCTCTTTAACCACAACCGATGTGCTGAACTGGAGCAGACGTGTGATGATGACATTGGTCTGTTTCTGCCCACAGTATTCTCAAAAGGAGGACAAGTATGAGGAAGAAATCAAGATCCTGACTGACAAGCTGAAAGAGGTGAACAAGAAGAGATGATGACTTTTAGATCTTTTAAATTAAGTCCATGCCAAACCCTAAAAACTTCTAGGAAGACGATTTAAAAAACATATTTGAGGCTGGTAACCCAACACAAAATGTGCAGTTTGACATGAACCTCAGTTTTGGACTCATGGTTCTGGACATTTTCAGTACATCAGAGAAATTGCGTAGCCACCTTAAAATTAGTTTTGTAAAGTTCTTCTGATGAAAGTTAAACTTAAACGTAGCACGCTGTCAATAAGGAAACTTTAAGCTGCTGACTCTTGATCTATAAATAGATTTAAATATCTAATCAGACAAGTGCGAACACATCCATAATTAATTTAAATAAACTTTTGAAGCCAGCGTTGTAGGTTCAGATCTAATAATTGTACAACGTAATGCTACAGGTTTTCCTTTTCGTCAACACTGAGGACGCAGTCGTCTTCATTCATCAGTAGACAAACCAGGAGCTCGGTACCGCTCTGAATGCGGTAAACTGTCAGCTACTGTTTGCTAACTTAATCCTCTGTTTGAAATGATAGCACCCTAACAGTCAGAAGTGTAAATGCATTAACATACTATTAGACTAGCATTCAACCAGCTCTGACTTTTGTGGACTGCTACGATAAAACAGGTGAAGGTTTACACAGTCTTTTTCATACAATTGAATCTTACTGCTCGCGCTCAATCCCCACTGACTCACAGATCCGTTAAAGGTAATTAAAGGTCAGCCCTGATAGGTTCACAGAGCTAGGGGCCTGAGTCGGGAGGAGTATTGGAGCAGGATGCACCATGACAGCCCTGGTCTTCATGTTGTCTGACCAGAAGTTGTTGTTTTCCACTCAGGCTGAGACCAGAGCTGAGTTCGCTGAGAGATCTGTGGCCAAGCTGGAGAAGACTATTGATGATCTGGAAGGTAAAGCAGTGATCACATGGTTCCCAAAGACTCTTAAAATCCACTTTAAATCTACTTTGAATCCACCAACAGCACAGAGGCTCCTGTACAGAGTCATGAAACTAACCGTGGTGCTCATTTTAAACGTGTTTAGTGAAATTTAATCAGCGATCAATTATTGATTAACAGTTCTCAGTTTAATCTTGATATTCTGTGTTTCCTGTTGTTGACAAATCCTGCGTGCAGAACAAAAACATTGGTGATGGATTTTTTCTGTACTAAAGTGAATCCTGACTTAAAACCCACCAACAGAAATGAGTCTGAGTCAGAAAGCCAACAAGTTTAGTTCACCTGTCAGGAGCATTGGTCAAAGATCCAACCAGAAACTTGCCAGAAGCTTGTGGATGAGACCAAGAGTACCAAGTTGAGGTGAAAATGGCCAAGGACGTTTAACCAACCACGAGGCGGTCACGAGGAGCATGACTGGCTGGCTGCCAGTGGATGGCGCCATCGACATCAAGGGTCTGGGCGGTGAGGTGGAGATGGGCGCCCTGTTCGACATGCCCAAGCCCTTGTGGCAGAACAAGACCAAGGAGCTGAGAGCCTACTTCATCCAGCAGGTGGGAGGTGACCTGCCCACTCAGGTGGAGGCTGAGCTGAAGGCGCTGGAGGACAGAGTGCAAAAACAAAACCCGACTGAGCAACAGTTCATCCAGGAGCAGGGAGGCAGGTACTGGTGTAGCATCGCTGTACGTATGTTTTTGACCCAGCAGATTTTTTCATATTTGCAGAAGACCGATAATAAATGTACGAAAGAACCAGACAGTTTTTTGACTTGACTTTGGAGAAGCTGGAGGGTAACACAGAGTTTCTGGACGACGTCATCACCGGGGATGAGACGATCCTCTTCCACCCCAAAACTAAGCAGCAGAGCCTCCAGTGGAAGACGCCAGAATCACCCAGACCAAAGAAATCATCCACTAAGATGGTTCTGACTGACTCCTGATTCAGACACTTTACAAAAATCTCTTGACCTTCTGGATATTGGCATCAGTTCTTGTTGAGGGGCGTCCTGGTTTCCTGTCATCCCTCTCCATCCTGAGCCTCTGGTGCCATCACAGACCAGAGGATGGGACATTGTTGGCTCCCTGTACTCATCCCTCAGCTCAGCATGGGCTTCTGCTGGAGTTTTTCCCAAGTTATTCAAGAACCTGATGTTCTCTCTGATTCTGTGACAGAAGCCACTTAACTGGTGCTAGAAACCCGTCTGTGAAAAGACAGCTAACAGGCCGATTGAACATCTCATCCAGTGTTGAGATGTTGTGCACCACTATGATGAACTTCAATACGGTCCAATTGTACCCATGTATGAAAAGCCCTGCATGCTGGGCGTACCTGCTCCACACCTACAGCTTAGACTGAACACAGAAACATAAATCGAGTAACTTGTTGTTGAGAGAGCAGGAGATTGCTGACGTGGGAAAAGCTGAATGTTAATCTTGGATCCACAACAATTCTGCACCTACTTTAATTGTAGGCAACAAATAAACAACAAAATCTTCACCGCAACTTTTGAAAAATGGCACCTGGTTGTGTTTTTAATAAGAGCCTGGTTTCAGCACAGGGACGAGAGTGATAGGAGTTGGTTTTTGTTTTACTTTCACTCTATATTTTAATATTAAACTAGTCTCTTCTATGTTGTAAATTGTGGTCTGTGTGTGTGTGTGTGTGTGTGTGTGTGTGTGTGTGTGTACATACAGATGAGCTTTATGCACAAAAACTCAAGTACAAAGCAATCAGTGAGGAACTTGACCACGCACTCAATGACATGACCTCGATGTAAGTAGTGATGTGTGTCGATTCTGAGGGGAAAGAAAGCATGCCTAAAGACTGTCAGAACGTTTTAGAGTAAGAACAGCATGTACTTGTTCTTTTAATAAGGTAAGTCAAATATTTAGAGCGTGTTTGTTTAGTTAAATATGTAAAGAGTCTCTCTGCAGTAACATCCGCTTCAGGGGGTAACAATCTGTGCCAGTTCACCTGCAGGGGTCACGATCCACAGGGTGCTTGTGGATATGAGGAAGTTAATTAAAACAAATGTGCATTCAGTTCCATCTCTTGCTTCTCTTGGTTTTAGCTAAACGTCCAGAAGCTCCACCACGCTGCCAGCTTGTGACCTTCTGCTGCGGAACATCGTCTTCTGGGTCTGAACCTGCAGCTGGTCTCTGTTCATCCTATAGTCGTCGTTCATTGTATAGTTTCTGTTTGTCTTGTTCACACTTCATTGTACTCGTGTATCGATTCTGTGCTGTACCACCTTTAAACGAGAAAGAAAACGACTTCCTGAGTCAATGCATCTGTGTCCACGGCTGCTTCTGTTCCACTGAAGTTTTAATATTTATTGTTCAGCAGCTTTAATAGTATTATACAACTCTTTGTCCCTAAGGATGCCAGCAGGTTTCACTTCACAGGAACTTAAGAATCTCAGGATTCAGTGTGAATGAAAAGCACATTTGGATAAAATGCGACATAAATGCAGCATTTTTTCCTGATTTGAGAATGAGGTACTATTACTCAAATCAGTCAAATCAAATCAAATCAGGTTTATTGTCATTTTGCTGTACATACACATTACATTAATTGTCAACAGACTTGTGTCGAACTTGACAACAGGCTGTTGGAGATCCATTAATGTGAGTCAGGTGTGTTGCAGTATGTGTCATGGCTTTGTCAATGCTCCTGACCCACATGCAGAAAGACACTCAGGAGAAGAGGGTTTGAAATAAAGGTTTTATTCACAGAGAACAAGGAATGTGTGATGAGGGTTAATCCGGCTGGGACGTCGACGAGGGTCTGGTGGGTGGCTGGGTGGGCAGGCCGTGCGGTGGTCAGTGCAGTGGGGGTGAATAGTTGAGGCGTACCGGTTGTGAGCAGGGTTGTCCAAAGAGCAGCGGAGATAGCCTCAGGTTGGTACAGGCTGGTTGCGGATGAGCATTAGCTGGGAGCAGGTACTCGGGAAAACCTTCGGAGAGGGGAAAAGTTAGTTAGAAGTAAGCACGGGTAGGAAACACACGAAATACTTCGAGGAGGCTTGATGTGTACCACTATGGTTAACACTCAGGCAGTGAGTGAACGGTGACTGCTCCTTTTGTCCTGGAGTGACGAGCTTCACGAGCTGCAGGTTTGTAGAGAACACACCTGCAGGGAATGAGCCCCAGAGCAGCACAAGATCCCCTAGGGCGCCCTCTGGTGGATGACCTGCCGGAGAAAACAAACAGCCCAGAGACCCCGTTCCCTGACAGTATGGAGACGTCTAAAACAGGGGTGTCCAGTCCTGGTCCTCCAGGGCCACAGTCCTGCATGTTCTAGATGTTTCCCTCTTCCAACACACCTGATTCAAATGATCAGCTCATCATTAAGCTCTGCAGAAGCCTGAGAATGATCCTGATCATTTGAATCAGGGATCCTGATTCAAATGATTTGAACCCTGACAACTGAGTGCTGCTTCAAAACATAAACCTGCACTGAAGAAAAACTATTTCTTTCTTAATGCATTTAATCTATGAAAAAAACTAACAGAATTGGCTCTGAATTGTAATTTATATTTCACATGTTATAATTAAGTCGCCTTGTGATAGACTGGTTACCTGTCCAGGTGAACCTGCCTTCACCCTGAGTCAGCTGGGATAGACTCCGCCCCCCATGACCCTAGTGAGGATGAAGGTGTAGAGATGATGGATGGATGGATGGATGGATGGATGGATGGATGGAGTAAGATGCATTTATAAAGTCAGTCTTTTAGAGGTGGTGATTGACTAAAGCAAACGAGACACTGAGGTGTTCTTTTACTTTTAATGTGTTCATGAACCCACTGAGTGTTCAGTTCCTCAGATGCTGGGAGGGCATCACAGGAGCTGGTCTCTCTCCTGCAGCCAGCAGCAGAACATTTGGTTTTGGCTTTGCTCGTGACAGAAACATGTCAGAAGCAGCAGACGAGTTCGAGCAGGAAAATCAAGCTGCTGGGTTGTGAGCCGGCTGCTCGTCCTGAATGACTCAGCTGTGAAGACGTAGGCGGTGACAAGCCGCCCTTCTCCAGTGAGAGGTTTAGTTTTGCCTGGTCTTATAGTCTGTTTAGTCCACGGGCCAGACCAGGTGTTGGGACCATCTCAGGTGATCAAACCTTCACAAACCTGAACGGCACACTGGGTTAATATCAGTACATTCACATGTGAGAGCCTTTCCACACTGGCAGCTTCATCACTTCTTTGTGAAACCGTCATATTCACCATGACTACGGTGCTGCACAATTCATTTAAGCCTCATTTATCTAAATCTGTGCAGCTGAACTAGTTTCTGCCTGATGGAGACAAACACTACATATCCCAGCAGCCCACACGGTTCCACTGCTAAACCAGTGCTGCTTCTTCACTGCATTCAAGCAAGTGGAGAGGAGGCCGAAGTGGAGGTAACGGACTCTGATCTGGATGAAGAACAGCTGGTGACAGGCAGGAGCAGGACAGAAAAGCTTGTTACCATAGCAACAGGATCTCTCAGGTTTGTTATCGTTTTGTTCTGGGCTGTAAAGTTATTACCACAGATGATGATGTGTAGCATGTAGCACACAGTACAGTAATACACACACACACACACACACACACACACACACCGCTGCAGGTGAAGTAATTCGCCATAGAAGCCACTAGAGGACGACAGGAGACCAGAGATGAAGTGAAAGTCTGTTCAAGGAATAAACTGGAACTGGCTGATACCGACCCAACCAGCTGGCCCGTTTGTTCTCTCTGGACCACAAGCTACAGGTGCATGAAAGACGTATGCAGAACTTTAAGGTTGTCTCCTGTAATGACATCATACGCTGTCACACAGCAAAGTCCTGTCACTGGCAAAAATGTACAAAATCAAAAATGTGTGATATTTTTTCACAAGGAGGTTAAAACAATAACAACCAGAATAATAATTATAATAAAAATAATAACACAGTACTGGGGTCCAGCTGGGATCCCTACCAGGACCAGCTCTACAGTGATTCTGTATAAAACCTGAGCTACAGTAATGACATGGATGTTGCGCCATGCTTGTCGTGGCTCCACAGACACACATGTGATAAAAGCACCTACTGGTGGTTGAAGTGTGTGTACTTGTGTGACATCTTTACTCAAATGGTTGAAAATTTGATCAGTGATTATAAGAAAATTAACTGTTTAGCAGGACTTTTTTTACATTAAAGTTGTGTCGTTGCAGATCGTCTCGGGGCAACACAACTTATGCTGTTACCATAACTGCACAGCAATAAAGTAAAGTGTACAGTGTTTAGTCATCCTGACAGAGATAAGCAGTGTTGTACCATCCATCCACCAGTCTGATGCTGTTCAGACATATTTCAGGTCAAACTTGTCACAGTTTTGGTGACTTAATTTGTCTGAGTTCAAGTTGACAAACGGTTTCATGACAACTTCTCAGCTCAGCTCATCTTAATCTGTCAACAAAAGAAAGTCTATTGACTTTGTTGGGTTTCTCTCCATGTTACTACCACTATGTAAGGACTTGGGGACCGTCACCCTACAGCTAGAATATCCTGGATCACTCATGTTTATGGCTGGAGAACCCGGAGAGAACCCACGCTGCACGGGGAGAACATGGAGATTCCACGCAGAAAGATCCCGGATGTCCTCATCGGGACGCCAACCGGCAACCTTCTAGCTGCAAGGCGACGATGCTAACCACTGAGACACCGTGCAGCCCTATTTATAAAGATGAGAATCATAACATCAGTCCTTTCCAGCTGCTCTGTGCATCGTGTGCAGTTTCTATGCCTGTTTCCTGATTAAAACAGGAACCACCTCCAGGCTCTTGTCCTGTCAGCTGATCTTGTGCTTCTATGGTGCATATTCTCAAAATGGTATGAATCAGGACAGTTTACATAGAAGAAGCTTTATGCATTCCAGGCTCCTGGAGTCCAGTCCTATACAGCAGATAAGTAGCATGAGAACCAACAAACAGCAGCCCATGTTGTTGTCAACTGCTGTTGGTCAGGGATGTTCTTTATCGTGTCAGATAGCTCCCCACCCACTCTGTGTGTTTAACATTAATCTGCTTACCTGCTGTATGTCCGTTCAGGCATCTGTCTGCTTCTCTGGACTGGAATCAGATTTTGTTAGATTGTCTTTCCAGCTCCTTCAGCTGTGATTCCTGATGTAAGTGTACTGAGCTTGACACTAACAGCAGACATCTCCTCTCTCGCTTTGTTCCATCTCAACTCTCTAAGTCAAGTTAACTTTATTAGCCTTAGGTTAACTGAATTCACACGTAGTTGGTTGTAAACAAGGTCCCAGGACAAAATGTGACGCTGAGATTTTTCAGCTATGGCAAGCCACCAGGGACATTTTTGTATAGGTTGTGGAGTTTCCATGCCGTAGAGCGTGTATCAAACTCAAGACCTGCCAAATCATTTTATGTGGTCTGCAAGAGCTTAAAGGTGTCGAATGTCTTAAATGAGTCAGTGATGCTTTAGAGCGTGCATTGACCATAAACTACATCCTGTCACTAGATCTCAATGTTTCTACATCAGCGATTAAAGATGGAGCTTTTTTTTTTTAACATACTGTAATACCTACAAACTTTTTAAAGAGTGATGCAGAAGGACGGCAGCTTCAAGAAAGATGGGAAGCTGAATCATGTTTGTTATTCAGGGAGATAAACCAGTATGTCTTCTGTGTTGTGAGGCAGCGTTGGTTGTCAAAGAGTACAATCTACATCGGCAAAGTCTTCATACTGTTTTTTGAGCTCAGGGAAGAAACTGCTCTTCTCAGGCACAGCAAAGGAAACCTCTTGTCTGAACTGTCAGATCCAAACTGGCTGTGTGACATAACCCAACTGAACCAGAGGCTGCAGGGACGCACCGGACTGGATGCTTTTGGTTTTTTTACCGTCACTTCCTGTCCTGACAGCGGAGTTGTCTCCACAGTGGAGCCTGTAGTGGACCTGAACTGACCGTGGAGGCCTACAGGCAGGTGCCTCTCGATGTTTTGGCTTTATTTTGTGTAATGGCAGGATGCAGTAACACGCTATTCATCTTTATATGCAGGGATTGGGCAATGAAGCCCATTCTGCCGTCAAGCATTTTATTATTTTACATTTGACCTGTCATGTGGGAGAAGTTATCAAAATGGATTATTAGCATTCAAAGATCTACCAACAAGCATATAGGCCCGACTTACCAGCACTGATTGGTAGACAGAACCAATGTTATGAAGACGCATTGTACTGGAAAATACGACGTATACAAAATAAACTGCAACGTATATACAAAATAGAGCTGCCCGCACAATACTCAGGTGTGACTACAGGACAAATATCATGTCAGTAGAAGCTCAGCTGGTTATTGGTCACAGACAGAGTGTTATACTCACTGATTATCACTATTAGAAACATATCTGTTTCAAAATCACCTCTGATTTTGTTTAAAAAACAAAAAGAAAATCATATCACCAGGCATGCAGCTGTAGGAAACGTTAGAACACCTAAAGCAAGATCAGATGCCATCAAATGTACTGTTAGATAGATAGATAGATAGATAGATAGATAGATAGATAGATAGATAGATAGATAGATAGATAGATAGATAGATAGATAGATAGATAAATATAGATAAATAGATAGTTTTCTTGTATATGTAACTGTGTTGGAGCCAGGAAGAAGAGCTGTGGCTTAGCTGCAGCTAACTGGGATCTGAATAAACTAATTAACTAACGAATAATTCTGCCTTTGAAGGATGCAGCTTCTGAATTGGGCCACAGATTCACAAAATCATTTATCAGTCACTTATGCTGACTGCAATGATAAAATGATTAATTTAGTTTATTTAATGTTTAATTTTAGCACTTAAAAAAATGTTTCAAAAATGAAATCTTATTCACATTATTGATTCATACATTCAATACAACATGGGAGTGTAAAAAAAAGAAGAAGTCATTATTATTTATAATATAAATACATATGAATCACCTAAAATGGCATTATGGTGTTATGGTACACAAAACATGTCTTTTAAACTATTATTATTACTTTTTAAATGCACTGACCCTGAAGCTTGAAGTTATAATAATTAGTTGACATCTCACAGTTAGCATCAACAAGAACAAGAGCCTTCATTTGTGTCTGTTGTGCTGTAACCTCTGTTAGCAGCTGCTGACTCGATGAGAGTCTGAGAGAGTCTCAGTGAAGACTGACTCCCGTTAGCAGCTGGACAACCTGGTGAAGAAGTTCCTCGTGTCTGGTGTTTTTCATTCTGTGTGTTTGAGGCTCCAGTTTATTTTAGTTTCTTCTGTTATGTGTGGATGTTGCTGTCAGTTAAGGAGTTAAGTTTTGTTTTCTGTTTGCTAGCTTTCGACACTCTGTTAGCCTTCATTTGGTTCTTCTGATTTTTAGCAACGTCCACCAGCTTCCTTTTTATTGTCACCGTTCTGTTACAATAAACTGCGTTACCTGAACCATTTCTATCTGGTTTTTGTTCCATCCAGCTGAATGCTCTTTTTTGCATATCTCAGTTAGGGTCAGAGCACAGGGTCATCCATGATGAGGATGATTCTTGATGATTGGTGGTCCAGTAGGATTGAGGGCCTTGGCCGGGCCCAACGGTGGCCCATGAGCAGGACTAAATAAATGTTAAAGGTAGCACCACTTCCAAAAGAGGGGCACAGGGATTATTTAATGACGTGTATAATAGTAATAAAAAACAGCTCCATCAGGTTCAGAAGTTAGTTGTTTCTGTCCAAAGTTTGGGGTATATGATAATAAGGGAAACACATCGATATCTGTCAACTAAAGCGTCACCAAACGGTTTCTTCACTAATATGTGTGTAAAAGTGTAATAACATGTTTTAAAATGTTGAAGTTCAACTCTGGTGGGAAACTCTGAGAAACCTGCTCAACTTAGGGTACCGATAAACGATGGATGAAAAATTGATTTTTTTAAAAAACAGGCGTAAGTACCTTCTGAGGTCAAATCAAGGTTTGTTCATGATTCTGAGTTGATTGATTGATTGATTGATTGATTGATTGATTGTTAGTCTTTATATTTCACCACCAACACTCCACTGTTGAAACGGCCACACTCACGTTTACATTTACATCCACAGCAGCTTTTATTTCACATACGTATATAACACTCAGAGTTATTTCTAATGCATGTCAGAAGCTTCAACAGTCATCGTCTACGTCTTCTTCAGACTCAACAACATCATGACTGCAGTTTCTGCATGGGATGCCTTTACAGACTCCACAGGCCCAGATGCTGGTGACCCTGTTCTTCTGGCAGCTGTGACCTCCATGACGATTACAGCTCATGAACTTCAGCAGCTCCTCAGGATCCGTGGGTCTGGTGTTGGACCTGGCTCATACCCATCACACCTGATGTCCATCCATAGGCACTGGGTTCAGACATGCTCACATTTAGTTTTCAGATTTGTGAAATATCTCATAAAATGTCCTTATGATAAGATGAAATGCTTTTCAGTAGATCTGTACCACCCAGAACCCCCTGGTTATGGAGGATGACTGTTTACAGTAATACACAGAATGAAGCAGCAGCATAGTTTTAGTGTGTATATGAGTGTCGCATTCCTCCAATCTGACAGTGATGATAATAATAATGAGGCTGTGACTGTTCACGACCCCTGAATGTGAAACCGAAATGACTCAGTCGGTTCGGTCCGTTCCGTGTCTCACGCTGTTTACTACAAATGTTCTTTCTGTCTGTGTTCAACTTCCTCTGCTCCATCTGCTGAGCACGCTCTGCATGCCCCGAGACACGCCGTGTCCACGCGTCGCTTCTGTGCGCTGATTGGCCAGAGCCGACACAAACAAAGCTTCTCCACCAATGGGAGGCGTGTGCACGCGCTGAGCCATGCCGTCCTCCCGGGCTGCTCATGCCCAGCAGAGCTCGTCATATAAAACCAGCCCTGTTCCTTTGTTTACACCAGAGACCAGTGGAAGCTGCTGCTTCCTCCACGAACCGTCGGTTCTAAGTGGGTTAATCGGAAAACTTCACGGTTGTATTCACGACATCTCCTTTTGTTCTGCGTACTGGTTAGCAGCTATCATGGTGGCCATGACGAAGAGAGTGAAAACCTTTCAAATCGTCCTGTCGGATCCGACCAAGACTTTCTACTGCGGCGGGGACCGAGTGTCCGGACGGATAGAGGTGGAGGTTCACGAGGTCACGCGTGTGTCCGCGGTCAAGGTTCTGGGTCTGGGCTGCGCCAAGGTGGAGTACGCTAAAGGCAAGCAGCGCTGCCGGCAGGAGGCCGAGTACCTCCGATACGAGGAGACGCTGCGGCTGAACGACCAGCCAACAGGTAAGCAGGCTCACCTCAGCAGCTCACCTGTACGTCAGAGTCAGGCTGATGGCTCACTTAGACTGGAACAATGAGTTTATTACTGAGCAGCTTTAGTGTGAGCGTGTCATTGACCTGGTAGAAAGGCAGGTGGAGGTGGTTTACTCGCTAGTTGATCTTATCAGAGCTGACCAGGGGTTTCCAGGACTGACTTACTAATTATTGTCCTCCTGCTCTTTATCTAAGTTGAATCAAAAGTTGTTGTCATCAGAACAGTGGGCGGCCAAGCCCAGTCAGAACAACTAAAGTTAGGTCCAGTACCAGGCCATCGATAAAATGCAGGAAAAATAATTAGAACTAATTTCTTTCTTCCAGACTCTGACGGGTCGGTGGTGTTGAGGCCGGGAAACAAATATGAGTACACGTTTGGATTCGAGCTCCCTCAGCAAGGGTAAGACCTGACTGATTATGGAACGGATACGTCATCGTGTTGTGATGTACGTCTGGTCATTAAGTTGTATTTTACAGAATAATTTCATTCCTGCTTGTTTCGGTCTCACAGGCAGCTGGTATCATCGTACAAGGGCAAGTTTGGTTATGTTCACTACTATGTCAAGGCCAAACTGGAGCGGCCCCAGCAGCCCACCCTCGAGTGCAAGAAACCCTTCGAGGTGGAGGAGCCTCTGGATGTCAACACTCCAGACTTGCTGGTGAGTTTAATGACACTGAATCTTAGTGGGGATGTATTTATATGTATTTAACTGCACTTCAGTGTTTGGTGTTTGGCTTAGACAGCTAAAACATTCTGAGCTCCTCTGTCCCTGTTCTGTAATTGTGATGTAGTGTTGCTTGACATGAAGTCAACAGATGAACTGAATGCTATCTTCCTGCTTCTCTCTAGTCTCCTACAGGTGGCATGAAGGAGAAGAAGGTAACCTGCATGTTCATCCCAGATGGCCAGGTGTCCCTCAATGCAAAAATTGACCGCCGTGGATTCTGCGAGGGCGAAGACATCTGCATCAACGCCAAGTTCGAGAACACATGCTCCCGCATCGTGGTGCCCAAGGCTGCCATCATCGCCAAACACACCTACCAGGCCAACGGCCGGACCAAGGTCTTCCGCCAGAAGCTGTCTTCGGTGCGTGGGAACCACATCATCTCCGGCATGTGTGACGCCTGGCAAGGAAAGACCATCAGGGTGCCAAAGATCAAACCATCCATGTTGGGCTGCAACATCATCCGTGTGGAGTACGCTCTGATGGTAAGCCTTTAGTTCTTGTATTTTACCTAAGGTGTTAGTCCACTACATTTCTAAAACATGAGTACTAATCTGTGTTTTTGTGATCACGCCAGATCTACGTCCACATCCCCGGTAGTGAGAAGTTGATCCTGGAGCTCCCTCTAGTCATCGGGACTGCTGGGCTGGGCAGCCGCAGTAACAGCGTGAGCAGCCAGGAGGGTTCGGTGAGCAACTCCTCCCAGAGCTGGGTGTCCCTCAGGATGCTGTCTGATCCTCCAAGCTACTGCGACATCACCCGTGACTGCCGCCTCGACCAGCCCCTCACTCCTCTCCTTGACGACTTTGATGGCGAGGAAAGTCCCATCTTTATGAACGCACCGGCCTTTCCGTTCCCACCGCCTCCGGCGTACACCGAGGTAGGCCTCTCTCATTGGTTGTTACAATCAGTGACGTGAATGTTCTGTGTTAAGCGTAAAAGAAACGACATCTAATAACAGTCCATCTAAACAATACTCTGTTGTTTTCTAGGCTGAGGAGGAGTACAGTGGAAACGCTCGCATGCTGCCGGTCTGCTGAAGTCCAGGAGTGGGGATTCTCGAACTGTGTGGTCCAGTTCTTAGGGACCATTATGTGGGACACTTCTAAAGGCGCACAAGGTTCTTACTCTGGAGGAAACAGGATGTTGGATGGCGAAGTAAAGCCAGGACAGTGGGAGAGGACAGGAATACAGTGGCCTGTTATTTCAGCTATCTTCACCACACCGAGTTTCCTCTAACTGCTCTTCCAGCTGCCGTCCTGGCGCTTTGGCCACGATCTGATGGCGCGCTGCATTCTTGAATAAGCTGTTCCTCCCAGAGGCCGTCAGGGTCTCGCTGCCCACTCACAGCCACTTTATGACTTTATAGGGGCCAAGCATTTATGAGTCAGCTCTCGGTGGCTTCTCTTCATGACACTGTCATTCCAGTCAAACCCTGTATTTGTTTAAGGGATTTCACATAAAGAACTCTTCTTCTCGTTCAGATAGTTCAGGAGTTTGTTGGGAACACCGTAGTCGTTTCAAATTGCAGCATGTAGAATATTATTCCTGGGATGATTGTTGAACCTCATGAAACATCTGTATTCCTTCATGTACCAGTGTTTGAAAAATGTGGTTTATTCCTTTTTTTATTTGCACTTTTTGATTGCATTTTGCTCTACTACTGCCTACAGGCGTTTCTGTTTGTTTAGTTGTGTTTTGATGTGGAGAGTTCTGAAAGTTCGACACTCTAAAATTGTTGAAACCTCCCTCGTTGGATTTCCAAATTCCATGATTGGCTCTGTAGTGCCATAAATCATCCATACCACTCACGCTTCCTCAGCATCATGGAAGGCGCCTTACGTGAGGATAATCATTGTATGAGGTTGGAGTTGTCCCAGACAACATTTCAGCGTCAGGTCTCCACTGTGGTGGGGTCACAGCTTCTGTTCAGAAAAACACTGTTAAAGACTGATATGTGACAAAGTATTTTTGCAATGCATTCTTGATATTAACAAGTATTTTTGTATGAGACCCTATGGGTTATTTTTTTATTAAAGAAATGTGTAAAAAAAAAAAATCCAGTGTCTCAGCTCTTTGTACCTGGTTTTAGCTGTCGGACGTCAAGTTGTGGTCAGTAGACAACTGACCAATCAGAGCAGAGTGGGCAGACTGTCAACACAAGACACATTACAGACCTACAGGTTCACTACATCCATTCATCCATCGTCTACACCTTAATCCTCACTAGGGTGGTGGGGGGCTGGAGCCTATCCCAGCTGACTCAGGGTGAAGGCAGGTTCACCTGGACAGGTAACCAGTCTATCACAGGGCCACACTTAGAGACAGACAACCAAGCACACTCACATTCACACCTACGGACAATTTAGAATCACCAATTAACCTCAGCATGTTTCTGGACTGTGGGAGGAAGCTGGAGAACCCGGAGAGAACCCACGCTGCATGGGGAGAACATGGAGACTCCATGCAGAAAGATCCCGGGTGTCCTCACCGGGGCGAGGTAACGGTCCTGACCACCGAGACACCTTGCAGCCGGAGTTAGTCATAAATATAAAATCTTAATCTAAAGTCCTGAGAAGTACTATGAAAATAGCTTTAGGAATAAAATAAGATTTACTTCATAACAAAACAAAACACAACAGAACCCGGAGGGGGAGGGCTTTTCTTCCTGAAGTCCACTTCCATCTCAAATGTTTTCAGCGAGTTCAGCTCAAGGTTGCTGAGACTGCAGCAGACAGACAGCTGCTCGACCTCCTCTCTGCAGACTCATCACGTCCTGGATGAGGCCACAGCAGTGGTGTCCTCTGCAAACGAACGGTAAACGGATGTGCTTACAAGATGTCAAATGTCACAGAGGTCATGCTGTTACTGGGTTGAAGGAACAGAAAGCAGTTGCTTCCTGATTTCAGTCTTATAAAATACGGGTCATTGAAGCTCCCAGTTTTTCTGCAAGATATTAAACAGTGCAGAGATCTTTTCTCTTTCAGATCCTAATTTTGACAGAGGTTCTGGAGGTGGTGGGGCCTTCAACTCATGTGAGCAGTAGGACTGAAACGCTTGGAGAATGGCACATGCTGTTGAATAGATTCTGACTGAAGTGTGTTTTTGTTGTGTGTCTGCAGGGAGAGGCCTGTCTCAGTGTTTTCTCCTCCACAGTGTGTTCTCTGCTCTGTACTGCTGACGTCTGCTGACTGCTGAGAGCAACAGATAAGGAAAGTGTTTATCTCCACGTCGCTCTGTGACGGAGGCTGGCCATCACTGCAGTGCTGCTTCAGTCCACGAACAGCCAGGAAAGGAAGGTGAGGAATGTTAGTACGCATAATTATGGCACCGTATTCGGCACTCTGGATGGATTAACACGAGCTCACTGCAGCGTTCCAATGGAAAATGGTTTTTACATCAATCGTTTTCAGCAGTTTTTCAGTAACTGAAAGTAAACAAATGATTTGACTGAACTGTGCCCCACTAAACGAGGTGGTTAGCAGCGTCACCTCGCAGCTAGAAGGTTGTGTTTGGTTGTCTGTAAGTGTAGCCCTGTGATAGACTGGTTACCTGTCCAGGTGAACCTGCCTTCACCCTGAGTCAGCTGGGATAGACTCCAGCCCCCCATGACCCTGGTGATGATTAAGGTGTAGAGATGATGGATGGATGGATTTTCATTTTAACTTTAATAATGTTTACACTTTTTTAAAAATATTTTTAAAGCAAAGAACAATTGACTAATCCAGGATAAAATGTACTAATAATAGAGGTTATAATAAACAAAAACTAGACTTAACTAAACCCCCTCTACCTACTCTGTCTTTGCGTGGCCCAGCAAGGACACCTGCTCATATCCTTCATCCTCCAGTGGCCACTTATGGACATGTGCACCACAAAGCAGAATTCAGAGAATAAGTGATTAGTATGGGTTCAAATTTTTAAGAACAGCTCCCTGTATTGGTCCTACATGTCCAGCTCAACATCAGTGTGTGTGAGGGTGATGCTTCCCAGCTCTGTCAAAGTCCTCCAACTGCAAAAAGCAAATGTTTTCTATTAGTTTTTTGAGGAAGTTTTTATAAATAAAATACATATAAATAAAAGGTAAGACATATATAACTGAGAACAGGTGTTGTTAGAAGGAAATTTGGTGAAAGGTTGCGGTGATGTGATGGTGTTGAGCTTCTGAAGTGTGTGAGGGGGAGGGTCCAGCTGCATGTAGGCCAAGGGTCAACCAATGGAGCGCCAGAGCTCTGTTTGACTGACATGTGCATGGAAAATACTGTCCACATGCCCCGTGCCAATGTGCATCCTAAAAAAAGATCAGACTGGAAGAGAAACTGATCCTGTGATGCTCAGTTTTCCATTATCTCTGACAGTCACCTTCTGATGAGTGCAAAACAGCATTACATAACGCTGAGCTCCCCGTATCCCGCTGTTTAGTACAACCTGTAAAAAAGCACCAGCAGGTGTGACATGGGTATGATCAGCATGGGTCTGGCCTATGTCGGCCTCTTTCATAGAAACAGTCGTCACCTTGCTGGTTATTGTTAACAAAGAGTTCATTCTGCAGGTTAGTTTGACCAGTAAACCTGAGAATCATACAAAATTACATCAAGCTACATGTTCACCTCTCTCTTATCTCCATGTGCCCTCTCTCCTCCAGCCATGTTTGTTAATTAGCACAAAATTAGGAAATCAGCTGACTGGAGGAACCCACCCCTGACCTGTAAACACAATAAGTGAACAGCTGGGTCAATTAATTTCTGAATGAGTCATAAAAATCTAATGAAAAGTTAAAGTTAAAGCCCATAAATAAAGTGATGATCCTTCTTAATATCTAGTATCTTGTCACACTGAAGGATCTGAGAGTGCTTTACATGTTTTCTTGGTTTCCCTGATCAGTCTCATCAGTCCTGACAACATTTCACTCTCTTCACTGCTGAGTCAGGTTCTCCTCAGACGTTAGTGATGATGTTAATAGAATGAGGATAGAGACACCAGCCTGCTGCCCATAGCAGTGACACAGCTTTGTTCTGAGACACACAGTCCATGTGTTGTCAGGATACAGCAGGAAAACACCTTGTACTCTCCTGGTGACTCACTTCTTGGAATAAACTTGATACAACATACCATCGGTTTGAAGGTGTGTGTGTCTGTGTGGGCATCACCATTGTTACCGTCATGTCAGGACTTCAGCGTGGTGCACGCCTCGCGCCGTCACTACACGGCTGCTGTGATTGGCTGAGGCAGAGGCGCACTTGCCTCCTCTTTGGCTGAAGCAGTTGAGCACGAGGGCTAGCATTCGAGAGCTGCATGCTCACACCCATCCGCCCATATGTGTGCGTGCGCGCACACACACACACACACACACACACACACACACACACACACACACACACACAGCAGAAGTCTATTTCTTCATCCTGTTTGTTCCCCCAGTGAAGGCTGTGATTCACTACAGGAAGTTCCACAGCAAGTCTGGTCATGAGACTGAGGTTAGCAGTCAATACAAAGGCTGCTTCTGATGAACACTCAGGAGTTTAGATGAATACAACACGTATGCAAAAAGAGCAGACAAATGTCTTCACATGTAAACCTGTCTGGAGCAGTCGGAGCTACAACTTACATTTATTACTGCTCCAAACAAATATAATTACTGTGCTGCACTTGGTCCATGGTGCCACTGATGAGTATGAACAGCTTTCTTAAATAAGGAGACACATCAGAGACGTTTAGTTTAGACTCATTCTCACTTCTAGAGCGTCTCAGAAGTCATGAGATAAAGACAAAGAATCCTGTTAGTTTCTTTCTTACATTCCATTGACATTCTTTCCTTTGACCTCATTACAGCTGCATGATGGAGATGCTATGAAATAACTTGACAATGCTTGAAGGAAACTCATTTAATAGAGAATTTAATTCAGAAAGAGAATACCTAACTTGAGGTATCCTGACTTTAAGTCCAGGCCTCTCAGATAGCCAGACCCGGGTGTCAGTAACTCTGTCCCAGCACTGGACCGAGGTCTGGTTGCACCTCATCATCATCTTACTATGGAGGAAGAAAATGCTGTGGTTGCATTTCTTTAAACCAATCATAATCGTCTGGAGCGGCGCTAAGCCCAGGGTGTGTTCACACCAACGGAGTCTGGGCGGCTGTGGCTCAGGTAGTAGAGCGGGTTGTTCACTAATCAGAAGTTCAATCCCCGACCACATGTCTGAGAGTCCTTTGGCAAGACACTGAACCCCAAGTTGCTCTATAGAACTACAGATTTCATGGCGTGTCCAATCATGTTGTATTGTAACGCTATTGGAAGTTGTAGTTCTTTCTTCAAAATAGCCGTTTCTCCTAAATGGAGGGTGAAATATAAAACTATAGGTGCATTTAGGGGTTTACATTGATGAGGAGCATATTTATTTGGACTGACTTAACAAATGAAATTGATATATATAGGTGAAATCAAATTTTTACCACATTTGTGACGCCCCCTGCTGGTGAGAACATCAAGCCACAGCCTACATGATAGTAGAAGTCAGGAGCTTTGGATAACAGTTGGTCCCATGATTCTAGCCCCTTTCATTGTTGAATTAGAAGCTTTAAAAGATGCACCAAAGTCAAAGTTCAGAGGTCAGTATCTGTGAGCAAGAGCAGCTTCCAGACTGACATCATCTTACTGCCCCTGATCAGGTCACAGATTGCCGTGAGACTTGGCTGAAGGAACACACTGTAAAGCGCTCTGAGGTGCTGTATGAGTGCAGATCATTTACCATTTACAGCATCACAACTAGGACAGGTTTCCCCACCTCTCTCTCTTTCCACTGTTACTGACTTCTAGGAAAACAAGCTCCCACGTCTCTTGGAAAGTACTGAGCACTGATTGGCTGAGGTCTGCTGCCAAGTCTTCTGTGATTGGCTAAGAGCCTTTTCATGCATGGGGCACGCAGGCAGCGCATGGCAGCCTGCTCTGGAGGAAGTCTGTTTTCCTGCAGGGCTGCTGCTGCTGCTGCCTCCACACGGCCTCACTGCCGTCGAGGCGACGTTCACATTTCAATGTCACTTCTACAAAGAGGTCGTCGGTA